AGATATCTATTACTTAGTAGATATGTCCAAGGGAGTTTCCTGAGGAACACAGAGTTCATGTGACTTGTCCAGGGTCAGGCAGTGAATGTCAAAAGTGGGATTAGAACCCAAGTCTCTCTGACTCCAAACCCATACCCTATCATGCTTCTTATTTACTCAGAGAAAGAAGGAATTATATGAGTAAACTACAATTCGATTTGAATTTAAAGAATAGGGACATGATCAGAATGTTAACCCTTCAACATGTCAGCTTCTCATGTTGAAGGGAAACTGGAACCGTGCGTCTTCTCTCTTGAACCGTGTGGAAGCCAGAAGACCAGGATCTCTTTTCTCTCTAGTTCTCACCAACCCGCTCCTCCTACAAGCACAGAGCACCAAGCAATCCAATGAGGACATTTAACGATTTGAAATTGTGTCATTCCCAGAGTATCTTATTAATTTTACACATTAAATATTTTAAAAATTATCTCCAAATGAACATTGTTTTCAGTGACATTTTCCTAGGATAATAAATGTAGTTAACATTAAATTTATGGGAAGACATTGGAGACGCAGAAAGACAGACAGTGAGTATATACCAAACAAACAAACAAAAAACTCTCCTCCAAAAAGATGTAGAAAATACCACAAACCAAATCCTGATGTGGAAATCCAAGCAAAAAATTACTACAAGTCATTTTTCCATCCTAGGTCAGCATAGGGAAACAGACAGAGGACTCTGTAGACCCTGGGCATGGGATTTGACCAGGAATTGCCCCTGGGGCCATTCCAACAGGGAGAGCCTACATACTGGGGGAAGAAGAGATCTCAGTAGAGAGGGGGCCTGAACTTATGTAAGGAGAACTAGGTGCCAACCAGCTGTTTTATTGGTCACTACCCAGCTCCACTTCAGAGATTCCTGCAGAGGGACCCTGCACCTAGAGGTGACATCCCAAGGTGGCGAGTGGCAGCTGGCACAAATTGTATACTGACCTAAAAGCAAATTCTGAGCATCTGTGTGACGCGGACCCCAGGAGTGGAGTGGGATCTTGTTTTCTACTTCCAGCCCAGTCTGACACCTGCAGTAGAACAACCAGGGCAGGAATCCCAAACCAAAGAGAAGACACTCTGGTGCTCTGAACCAACAGAGTTTTCCAGCTGGCTGAAAGTAACTGATTCTAGCATCATTTCACCAAAACTTCATAGGGGTGAAGCCCACGGGCCTATTGCTCAGACTGAAACCCAGAGCAGGAACTCACAGAGCTTAAACTAGAAAGGTAATGATCAGACTTTGACCTTAATCAGAGCACTGAAAATTTGCAGGTCCCCAGCCTGAACTGTCCCTGAGATCCTGGAAAATACTCCAAGAAAGCAGCAGCAAGACAAGCCAGATACTCCTTCCAGAAGTTCACAGAACCTAACAGAAGTACACAGAACCTGGCCATAACACAAAGTCCAAAAGTAGGAATCAGGCTGGAAGAATGAGCAAACAAAAAATACACACACACACACACACACACTTATTATGGAGACATTATGGAGACAGGGAGGCTCAAGTCACAAACCCAGAAGAAAATTACTTCAAAACATCTGCAAGCAAAGACTCAAAGAAAAACGTAACTCAGGCACAAATTCAACTAGATTTCCTGGAAAAAAAGAAGCAAGAGTTTGAAGGGCTTCTTTTTTAAGACTTTTAAAATGTGTTTATCAATGAAATGAAAGCACTAGAGGAAAAAAATTGGAAAAGAAATTAGAACTACGAAAGAATTAGAAAGGGAATTAACAGCTCTTTTTGAGGCACCAAAGGAATCTGAGTGGATGCTCATAAATGGGGATAGAATACTATTGTATTATAAGAAATGATGAAGGGGATGGCTTCAGAGAAACCTAGGAAGACTTATGTGAACTGATGCAGAGTGAAGTAAGCAGAACCAAGAGAACAACTTATACTATGACAACAATATTATAAAGACAAACAACTTTGAAAGACTATTCTGATTGGCACAATGACCAACCACAATTCCAAATAACTAATGGTGAAACATGCTGCCTGCTTGCTGATTGAGAGGAGAAGGACTCAGAATACAGAATGAGACATATATATTTTTAAGACGACCAATGTAGAAACTTGCTTTCCTTGCGTATAGATATTTGTAACAGAAGTTTTGTTTTTCTTTCTCGGTGGTGGAGGGGGAGTGGGAGAGAGAGTAGGTGGATTTTTGTTTGTTGAAAAAAAATTATTTTTAAGTAGGAAAAAACAGAGAAAAACATTAAATTTATGGTCATGGGAATATCTGAATTTTCTGTTTATTAAGCTTTCATTTGAATCCCAGAAAGTTTCCCCGATGTACTAATTAAAAAAGGAAAATTTAATATAGACTTATAAACAACAAGAAAAAAAAAATCAATCCCTAAATTTCCATCAGCCCTCCTTACATATTCTCATGAACTGAAACTCAATTGTTTGTTTAGATTCAGTTATGTGATTTCATCCATGCAGGAAACTCCTAGGGTAGAAAGTCACCAATGCAGAATGGCAACTTGCTTATAACTTAAAATCTTAAGGAGTTTTTTCTATGCAATTCTATTTAATACTTGAGCTGTCTAGGCTCACAAATCATAGAATCAAGAAAACTCAAAGCTGAAGGTACCTTCGATGTCATCTGGTTGAACCCTCATGTAGAACAAGAATCCTCTCTACACATACCCAAAAAGTAATTACCCAGTCTTTGGCCTGAAGAACTATGGAGGACAACCCAAGCCTTGACCTACCTTTCCAGGTTTATTGGACGTTGCGTCCTTTCACCCGCTCAATGTCCCAGGGAAACATCCTGCTGGTAGCGCCTCAATCATGAGATTCCATCTCCAAGTGGTCTCCTGAGCCTAGATTGCCCTCCCTCCTTCTCTCTGACTCTTAGAATTCCTCAAAGCTCAGCTCACACACTGCTTCCTACCGGAGACCTTTCCTGATCTCCACTGTGAAATTACTTTGTATCTGCCCTTTGCGCAGTTTGTTCCTTGGCTCCAGCTTCCACTGGACTAGGGGCTCCCTCGGTGACCTCCAACTTTGGCCACTCCAGGGCTGCTGGCTTGCATGCCTGCCAATATCCCTAGGGCCATCTGATATTTGATAGGGCCTTTAAAAAATGTTTTCAATAAATTGTGGATCTGATATCAACAAACATAAATATTTCCAGATACAAAGAAGAGACAAACAGGATTATATATGAATCGCTGAATCCCTACAGCTTGGTGTCTTTTTTTTTTTAATATATGTAATAGGGAGTGGGGTCAAGGGGAGCAACTAGCCAATGAGGGCCCAGTCTTTACAGCATTTTCAATTTCCACGTGGAGGCTTAATGAACCTGTAATGGCTCCGCTTCAGAGCAGGCACAAGAATCCTCCGACTGTTTCTTGTCTAGTGACCTCACTGCGACAAAAAGATCTTTTAATGTTGCTGGGCCAGAACTGGGGGAAAAAAAATCAAAGAGATGAATTCTTTTCTTCTTCCCTGGTGGCAAGTGAGGCAAGACCTGCTGTGGGCTCCCAGGTTGGGGGCAAGGAGTGAGAGAGCCCTCAAGCCCTCTCTCCTATCCAGCTACCAATGGAATGTCCATGAATGCATGGAACTTGTGTTTCTTGTGTGTTTGCTTTCGTGATTTTAGGTGAATGAATATTAGACATGGAGTGCACTGGTTACAACCTTGTGAGCTTCAAACGGTCAAAATAGACACCTACGGTACCCCGTGGCAACAGGAGCTGGTGACAGCAATAGCTAAGTCTATGGAGGAACCAGGCCTGAGGGGAGACCCAAATAGCTAAGCCCAGTAGTTAATGAATACAGCATCCAAGACCCCAAATCCTATAAGCAAGCAAGAGAGTGACTCCTCCAACAGCATAACCAGAAGTCAACTTGGTAAAGGAATGTTTTATTGCAATCCCCTTTAGGTTTGAGCCCAGTCTCCTGAGGAAGTAAAGTGTGTAGAGGGCAGAATGTGCTGTTCCATTTCAGTCCTTGCTTTATCTCAGTAATAAAGATTCCTTTGTAAAAGCTATTTTATTTTAACTTCTTAATTGACTGTAGAGGAGATTTAACTAGCACTTGATCTGAGAAGCAGAGAAACACATTGGATGGGGGCTTATCAACAATAGTATTAGTAGCCCACGGAGCCCAGAGGAGAAATAGCCAGCAATGGAGATATGATCTATCCATCCAAAATGGTCAAAATAGGCTTTGCATATATAGTACACACATATGCATATGTGTATATATGCATATATATATATATAAAATTTTAGACTTCTCTACTTATCATTATCCCATTCTAAATTTCCTTTTATTCTCCTGTATTTTTAAATGTTTCATTGATGCTCTTTTCTTCATTTTCTTCTTTTTACCTATATTATGATCAATACCTCCACCAAAAAAAAAGCCCTCTCTAGTGACCAATAAATAAGGCCAATCAAAACAAATTCAAACATTAGTGGTTCCTGTATGTCTTATTCTGCAACTACTATGCCACCCCTCTTTGCCAAGAGGTGAGAAGTATGCCCTATTTCTTATTACATTGATCAGAGTTCTTAAGTCTCTTTTCTTTACCTTACTGAAGTCATTGTATATATTGTTCTTCTGGTTCTGCTGATTTTAATGCATCACGTCATACAAGTCTTCCCATATTTCTCTAGGTCTGAGAGTGCAATAATGTGCCAGTATTTATATTTTCTCTTCTGAAGTGGCAAAAGATAATATCAGAGATCCTGGCTATAGTAACAGCAGCATACAGTTGTACTGCATTTTATAGTTTATAAAACACTTCATATCCATTATTCTCATATAACACTTCCACTGGGCTCACTCTTCTGACTTGAAATGGTCCCAGAAGTTGTGTCTCCAGGGGGGTGGCTACCACTACTACTCTGAAGGGCTCTAGAAGTGACCTTATGGGTGACTATCCTAACACTAATTCACAAGTCCCCACCAGTGAGCTTTCCCTTAACAATCAGCCAGAGGACTTAGTTAATTCATTAGCAAAGAAATTTACTCAATTGGCATAGGAAGAACAGTAGTCACAAAGCATTTTCCTCTAAACAAAGGCTATACTCTTCCATCAATACACACAGAGAGATGGTCAAAGAAGAGGAAAGTGGTCACAGACTTAAAAGTACAATAGTAATAAGACATACATAGGGTACACACTTGCCAAGGCAGCTTACAACTCTGGAAGTATAGGGTCTCAATATCCATTCCTTGTCTGGATGATTTTCATGAAGTTTTCTTTGAGATGTGGCAGTAGTAGTGATGGACAAGCTACTCCTATGCTCAGCTGGGCCAACTCCTTGAAAGTCTGGAAAAATCAATCCGATGCTGGGCTCTGCTTCTGACCTGGCTCTTCACCGAGCTCAGCTGCTACTGGGCTGGATGGGGTGGATAGTTTGACCACTGGGCAGAGATGCTACTGGGCTACTGCTAGACTGTTGCCAGACCGGGCCACGCCAGTCACTCATTGCTGAGCACCAGCTGTTAGACAGGGGCAGGCAGTTTAATCAGCTACAGGGCTCTTCTTTGCTGAATAGGTCCATTGGATTCACTGGCCTCACTCCTTGACTGGCAGCTGTCATCTTTCACCGCATTCGTCCACTGGCCCAGCTGTGCATTACTGTGCTCTCTTTATCTGGATAAAGGGGAAAATCCAGTGAAGAAAAACCATAACGTGTCAAATTTTTGGTACTTTCAGTCCTTAAGTAAATATCCAGCCCACAAAAGGTGAGTTTGCACCACACTTAGAATGAATTTAAGAGTTATGAAAACTGGCTAAACAAATTGTTTATAGGCAAACGAATGTAATAGGATCTTACTGAGCCGTTAGAAATGATGAATACAGAGGTGCATGGAAAGATCTGTATGACTGATGCAGAGCCAAGAAAACAATGTATACAGTGACTACAACAATGTAAATGGAAAGAACCACCCACACACACACACACACACCCACCCATCCACCCACACACACATCAAAATCAAATGTTGTAAAATTATAAAGAATAAGCATGGCTCAAAATAAGAGAGATGAGAAGACACTCCCACCCATTCTACCCCTTTGCAGAAGTGAGAGGGCCACAAGTATGGCACAATTCATATATTTTTCAGACTCTTTAACCTACTAATCAACTATGCTAATTTTTTTCCTCTTTCCTTGTCTAAAAAAAATACTCTTTGTTATATGGGATGGTTTCCTGGGACAGGAAAGGAGAAAGGACATGAGGGAAACTGTGGTGATATAAAAAGCAAAAGACATCAACAAAAACTTATTTTTAAAAAGCCAAGAAAAAAGTATGAGACCACCCGGGATAAAGAAAGAATTTTTTTCATATCAAAATAATGCCATATAAAAGTCTGAAACAGGATCTTATCCCTTTCAGCAAACACTCAACCATGTAATTTTTTCTCTAGTTTCTATTCTTTGGCCCAATGTGTGTTTGTGTGAGTGGGTGGGTAGGTGGGCGGATATGTATGTAAGCTACTGAAATGAATACAAGGAGACCAAGGTGTCTTAAGAATTGATCTGCTGCTTGGGGCAGCTAAGTGGCAGTAGAGAGACCACCGGCCAGAACCTGAGTTCAAATCCGGCCTCAGACACCTGAACCTTTAGATGTGTGACCTTGGGCAACTCACTTAACCCCACTGCCTAGCCAAAACAAAACAAAAAAAAACAAGAATTAATCTACTGCTTTTTCCTCATTGACAATAGCCTTCTTTGTAATATCAGGGAATCAAAGAATGTCAGAGCTGGGAAGGATGTTAGGGATTATCTAATCCAATCCTGTCATTTTTTTTAAAGTGAGGAAACTAATATCCATAGAGGCAAAATGAATTGTGAAGGATAGGCATCTGTGGGCATCAGTGTTTAAAAGTGCTAGACTTCAAGTCGGAAGACCTGAGTTTGAATCCTGCTTCAGCCACTTACCAGCTGTGCGACCCTGGGCAAATCCCTTCACTTTTTGGTGCCTCGGTTTTTTATCTATTAAATCTATTTATCTAAAAAATAGCACCTACTTTGTTGTGGGGGGAGGGGAATCAAGTGGGACAACACATGTCAAATGCTTTACAAACTTTAAAGTGCTGTATAAATGCTAACTGTTATCATGAGATCACATAGTAACTGGCTGGGTCAGGACTCAAACCCAGGACTTCAGACTCAAAGACTGTGACATATGATCTCATCACCAAGAGATAGAGCCATTTGACTAGGAATATTGGACAAGAGATCTTCAAATAAGTTTTGTACTTCATGAGTTGAATACAAGAAGCTATCAAGACAAATTCAGCTGAAGAGAAGGAACTGGTCGCTACCATAACTCACAGATAGGTATTACGAAGGTAAAGGGGATGCCTCCAATAAGATCAGCAGAAGCTACAGTTCTATAGTCCAGAAGTAGCTGACATGATGACTCAACCAGCAGCAATGGCACATTTGAATGTGAACTTGGTGGGCCTCATGTTAGTACGATACTGTGCCAAGTCTGAGTCCATCCCTCCCAGAAACTCATCAGGGGAAGTGTGTGTACTTTCATTTTTTAAATATCCCCTTCTAAAAGTTAAGTGATGTTAAGTGTTTAAATGGAAACGGAGCACTAGTAAGTAATGGCAATAACTAGGAACTGATAAGAACAGGGAGAAACTTACCCAGAATGGAGGGTCCAGCCAATGGCAGTGGAAAAGGATACCACAAGCCTTCAAAGGTACTTCTGGGATCAGGAGCCCCAAAAGGACATAGGGCAAGGCATGGTATAGTGGGACAAGTGCCAATTGGAAGTCAAAAGGCTTGGCTTCAAATTCCAGCTCTGCTACTCATTTATTATCTATAATAATCTAATAATCTGTAATCTGTATAATAATCTAATCAAGTCACAACCTTTCTGGGTCTCAGTTTCCTCATGTATTAAAATAAGGAGGATTGAGCTAGATGGTGTCTGGGGTTGCTTTCAGCTAGCTGGTGTGCTGATAAATGTTTAATAACCTAGCAGCTTAAAGGAAAGGGCAGGGGGTAGGGGGAACACATACATGATGCACTTTAAAGTTTAATTGTATTTTTAACATTTTCTTCAACACTTTCTTAAGGCCAGACAATCACCATAACAATACATCAAGCCCTGATTCATAGCATCTGTGGATTTCCAAGATGTAATGTTCACACTGAACATTTAAAAATCGGCTCTTCTAGCCTGTTCAAGCTTGCTCCAGCACACCCCTGCTTCCAGCTCCAAATCTATGATTCTATGATGCTAAGGAACTCTTACTCAACAGAAATTGGGAAAGATGAGTATCCAAACAGAATTCTCAAAGTAGATTAATCCAGAGAAAATCACATCTAGGGAGAGATAGGAAATACTTTTTAGGGTAACACTACAACCAACTAAATGTGGTTCCCCAACTCTGGAGATCAGTGAATTTGGTTTCTCCTCTAACCATGATCCTCCCCCCCATCAACTCCCCACATCAGAATAGAAACAAAGTGGCTAGGAAGTGAGAAAGGAGTTTAACCCTGGGAAAGCAGAGGGGTCAGCTCTAGACTGAAACAAATCCCTCCAATCTCCCCCTCTCTCTTCAGACAAATCCAGTCCAGCTGTTGGGCCTTTGGAGGATGAGAGCTGCTCACCCAGGGGACCAGAACAAGATTTTCCTATAACAAATTCTGACATATTTCACACCACAGTCATAGACCCTTCTATCATGTTAGCTTAGAGGATGTGGGGCAGGAGATGTGTATATGTGTGTGGTTTTGCTAAGACTGATGATTTCACTGATGTAGAGAACCTCCAGGGAGGAAGTACCTCGTACCGATGCAATTCAGCTTTATTTGCAACCTACAGCCTGCCACACGAGGGTTTATGTGATTTGCCCAAGGAACGTATGAGAGCGAAGACTTGAACCCAAGCTTTCCTCTCTGTCATCAACCAATCAACATCTAGGTGGTATTCACAAAAGAAAATGGAAATGCCATATTGCCCAATTAAGGAAAACAAAAAAGCAGTGGAACTGAGTCTGGGAAACGAAAGTACATTAGAAATTCTAGGTTCTATTTATTAACAGTTGGAAGCAAAAGTTAAAAGGTTGACGCAATGCAGCTAAAACAAAAGCTATTCGAAATCATTAAAAACCTTATTTTAGGGGCTTGAGAAGCAAAGAAATCAAAACAGAGAGGGACCTTTCTCCCTCTCCCTAAATAAGAGAATATGGACCCAGGTCGTCTCCAGCAGAAATTATGGCTGGGTTATACTTATGGAAGGCAGTCAGGCGGTGCAGTGGATAGAGACAAGAAGACTCATCATCTTCCTGAGTTCAAATCTGACCTCAGACACTCACTAGCTGTGTGACCCTAGACAAGTCACTTTACCCTGTTTGCCTCAGCTTCCTCATCTGTAAAATGACCTGGAGAAGGAAAAGGTGGACCACTCCAGTATCTTTGCCAAGAAAACCCCAAATGGGACCATAGAGAGTCAGACACGACAAAAACAACACAAGAAAAATCCTTATGGAACCCCCAGTCTTATTGATCAATATGGATTATGTAAGGAAATTGCAGAAACTGTACAACATAGCTCTTCAATCTGCAAAACTTTAGTACCCACTAATACCCAGCAAGACCTAGTGACTTAACCTACACATGAGCTCACTAATCTTCCCCAAACTAACAGATAACAATGCCCTACGTTAGAAATACAGGTTTCGAAATAGCCTTGAGAATTCAGTAATATATTACATTGATATTGGACCATGATCACAGACTAAACTGTCCCACAAATCACCCTGCCTAACAATAAGCTACCAAAATTTAAGAACAATATTTTTAATAGCTGTCACCCATAAGGAGTGCTCATGATCTCCAAGTAACATGGGAGGAAAATCTGTCCAAACACAGAGACCTAGCAAAAGAAAATCGAACCAGGTAGGAACAAAATGAAGTGTAGACAGAACATTCTTGTCATCCTGTCTGCTAGCAAAAATGTCCCCAAGATGCTTTCAGAGTTTACAGAAGATAAAGCTTACATTCCCCATCATTGTATTCAATTACACAAAGCAGTTACTTTATCAAACTGTTCAATAGTTTTAAGAACATTAAATATAAAGGAAAAATAAACAGTAGGATAACAACTTATCCCAGGACTGTTTCTATTTGAATTTCTAAAAAAGATGAGTAAAATAATAGCAATGATGATAATAATAATAATAATAATAATGATGATGATGATGATAGCTGCTATTTATATCACGTTTTCAGGTTTGTGATGTGTTTTACATGACTTAGCTCACTGACCTTCACAACTCTGTGAGGTATGGGCTATAGATATTTTTATCCCTATTTTACAGATGAGGAAACTGAGTCTCAGGGGTGACATGACTAGAACATTGTCACACAGCTCATAGGGTTATGTAGTCTTTTTTGTGTCACAGATCCCTTTGCTGACAGACTCCTCAGAATAATGTTTGTTGCCTATATTCAGAATTGAAGGAAATGTTACATGTCAATGAAAATAAAGATGTCAGTTTCTCCAATCCAAGGCCATGGATTCCAGGTTAAGACCTCCTGTGCTAGAAACAGGATTCAATTAGTTTTGTTGTTCAGCCATTTTCAATCATGTCAGGTTCTCTGTGACCCCATTTGGGGTTTTC